AAAGAAGTTCAGACGCTTTTCTTTGCAAGCTCCTTTGCTCACGATGACCTGGATGACTGAGAACCTTCACAGACATAAGATGAGCCTTGTTGTTCTTTTTGGTGAGCACTGGTTTTCCCTTGGAGCTCTCGGCGGCTCTATGGATGCCATTTTTGTCAAGTCTCCTTCTTATTGTTGATTCATGAACACCTTTAATGCGACCCTTTCCAGAATGATAGAAGTCAGTTATTTTGTTTCAGATTTGTTTCTTTAGATCACAATGTGATTGCAATTTAAATCTTTTAGCCTACTTCACTTTGTCAGACAGATTATGTTATGTGATTTCCTGGCTGGTGAATCTCAGCTTTACACACAGTGTGCTTAATTACAGTTAACAAAGAAGACAATTACTTTTTCACACCAGGTAGGTTTGGACAGCTTTTATCCCTTAATAAATAAAATCATAATTTAAAACCTGCATTTTGTCTGCATTTTACTTGTGTTGTCTTTATCTGATATTAAAATGTTCTCAATGATGATGATGATGAGGAAATATACAGAAAACTAAGAAAAATCGAAGGCAGACTGTTTACTGTCCACATGGGTCACACTTATTGCTTATCTGGGTATCGCATAGGAGCTGAAAGATCAGAGTCACAGGATCTTACACATTATACTACAAGTGTTTCCAGGATTGTTTTTAAGGGCTTGTACATCACAAACAAGAGACATGAGGGCACAGGAAATAAGAATATTGGTTTAAATACACCGAGGACAGTTTTGAGGCATAAAGAAGGTTCGGCCTGTGCCCTCATATCGATGTGTCATTAAAATAAGCTGCACAAGAGTTTAAACATTGTTTAGTATTGAATAACCATTTTGCAAAGAGAAAACATTTAAGCATCAAAATACACTTTAGGAACTTAGAGTGAAAGTATTGATTATTGATGGAGGTTATTTTAATTATTTGTATGCTGCTTGGTACTTTTATCTACAAGTACAAAATGCAACATTTGCAAACAGCATGAAATAGCCAAATAAAGTACACTGCAAGTGCAGAGTACTTTCAAATATCAAAGTACAGTATATGTACGACGTTACATTGCTACCCATGCTGTCAGTGGCACTGTGAGATTACAGTACTGCAGTGCAGGGGCACTGGGAGAGACCAATCATCTGCATTACAGTCAAAGCACAAAACAAATATCCTACAAAAGTCAGTGAAGTATTTATTTTTTAAATACGCTGCAGTAGGATTACAATGCCTACTAAAGTATTTGGACGATCTTAAAATAGGATTGAGTCAGAAATAACATTACTTCTAAAGAAACAGCAAAAACTGTTTTACAAAATAAGTTCAGATTAATGAGGAAAAAAAAGTACTTGTATTCTTATTTTCTTTAGAATAAAGTTACTTTGCTCACAGCACTAATTATGACCTCAACCAGTTTATGTAACAGCTGTGTTGAAACCTGTGGGTACAACACAAAAAAGCACAAACGCTTAGTCAGACTTCATTAAACTTGCAAGTAATGAGGCAAAACATTTGCCATTAATATTACCTTTGCTGAGTCAACATATCCATATGTCAAAACGTGACAGTCAGAGCGCAACGAGTCTTTTGTCTGACATCAAGTTACTTTTACATCTTTTGCGTGAAAAGTCATCTCATTTACGTTTTAACTATGTTAATGAGATTTACTGAAGCCAAGGCAACAATTCCCAAACTTCAGATGTTGATCTTGTTGCGTGTACAACTGAAAAGAAATACTTCATCAAAACTGCCATTTGGATTAAAAAAATCATTTTTTTCAGCTGGTCTGTGTGAAGAGGAAGACCTGAGAGCGAGAGGATACACGACAAGAACATCACTGTGTATGTGTGTGTGTGTGGTGAGGATAATT